CAGAGAGAGAGAGAGAGAGAGAGAGAGAGAGAGAGAGAGAGAGAGAGAGAGAGAGAGAACATCACGGCTACTTTCTGGCGGAAAAATTAACTCAGAATCTTAGGAGAATCCATCTTGTAAAACCAGTAATACCAACCTTACAGAGATAGATACGACCATCAGAATACTAACTTATTGAGAGAGAGAGAGAGAGAGAGAGAGAGAGCCAGGAATACCAAATCCAAACATATGAAATCCTTAACGTATGGTAATGTATGCGTGTCAGGGCGCCTCAGAGATCACAGGAACAATGTTGGCAAGCCTGTCACAATGGCGGCCATCATGTTGGTGGTGTTTCCTGTGGACTGTGTTCATGTTACGACACACACACACACACACACACATACACACACACACACACACACATACACTGTAGACTCATTCATTCATGACGATAAACCAAATTATATCCGTCCTCTCTCTCTCTCTCTCTCTCCCATTAACAAGACCATAATTACAAAATGTCGTCCTTCGAAAAAAATAAACAAAGTCCTGCACCAAAAACAAAACTTTCGAAACGTCGCGTATTTCCGTTCACGTTACTGTCGGCGAACCAATAGCAACACAGGAAATAATTTCCCTGGGGTTTTAATTGGTGCTTTTAACAGCCGCGGAAGTTAATCGTCTGATTCCATCTCGCTCTGTTTATATTTATTTTGTCCGATACTGAGAGATTATTCTGTACACACACACACACACACACACACACACACACACACACACACACACACACACACACATATTATCATCAAACACACACACACACACACACACACACACACACACACACACAAGAAACAAAAAACATTGAAACAAACACAAGCAAGCACACTCAAACAAATACACATAAACACACAAATACAAATACTGTACACAAATAAACAAACACAATAACAAAAACAAACAAACACATAAACAAAAACAAACAAACAAAGACACAAACACCAGCAGGTTGAGAACATTATAAAAGTTTTCTTAACACCACAAAATGTTTAGTGAGGCCATGAAACACCTAGTTCTACCCCATAACATTATGTTGTGTGTGTGTGTGTGTGTGTGTGTGTGTGTGTGTGTATGTCTCTACCAGCCAACCCACCCACCCACCCACCTACCCACCCACCCACCCACCTACCCACCCACCCACCCATCCACCCACTGATACATATAATAAAAATACATAAATCATTACCGTAATTATGAACCAAAAAACTGTATTATATTTTTAAGCCAAATTAATCTTGAAAAGAATTGTAAATAAAATTAATTGGTCGTGATGTAATATTTTTTTTTTTTGCATTTATAATTTACGGTGATTTTTTTTTTACTGTGGGGGAAATGGTCGAATGTTAAGTGGCTGAGTGTGTTAAGTGGCTGAGTGTGTTAAGTGGTTGAGTGTGTTATGGCTGGAGTGCGTTAAGTGGCTGAGCAAGTGTTAAGTGGCTGAGTGTGTTAAGTGGCTGAGTGTGTTAAGTGGCTGAGTGCGTTAAGTGGCTGAGTGTGTTAAGTGGCTGAGTGTGTTAAGTGGATGAGTGTGTTAAGTGGATGAGTGTGTTAAGTGGATGAGTGTGTTAAGTGGCTGAGTGTGTTAAGTGGCTGAGTGTGTTAAGTGGATGAATGTGTTAAGTGGCTGAGTGTTAAGTGGTTTTAGTAAGTGTTAAGTGATGGTGTTATCTGTTAAGCAGTTGCAGTAAGTGTATAAAGTGGTCATGTCACTTTCTAAGCCAAAGTCACCTAAAAAAAAAATCCGAACACAATGAGTCATCAAGGAAACCACCAGCGAGTACCAACAACAAATCTGAACAGCCAATCACAATGAAAGGGAAACAAAAGAAGCTGTTGTGATTGGCTGGTTCTTGAGTTACGTGTAATAACATGGGACCTTCAAAAAATTACGTAACTTGTTCAGATGGTATGTTGTTTCTCTCTCCACCAAAACATAACCCAATTTTTCCTCGTGCAAATTTTAATATCATGAAGGTAAAGACTGCAACATAACCCTTAAATAAAGCCGAATATTTCATCTGCCTTTCTTAGCCTAACTCTCATAACCCCCCACGAAATTAAATCCGGTTCCTGTTACAGCGTTTTCTTACCAGATATGAATGAGAGAGAGGCAGTGAGGGGGAAGGGGGAAGGGGGGTGGGGGAAGAGGAAGGGGAAGGGGGAAGGGAAGGAGGTTCGTATTATTATTTTTCTTTTGTTTATTCTTTACTAAATCTTTTGTTTGTTGTTAGTAAAAGGGATAGAAGCGATGAGGGAGTTAAGGAGGAAATATATTATCTTTCTCTCTCTCTCTCTCTCTCTCTCTCACTCTCTCTCTCTCTCTCCCTCTCTCTCTCTCTCTCTCTCTCTCTCTCTCTCTAAATGCAAGAGAATTAGACCAGTGCAGAGGCTCAGAGAAGATGACACGAAGGATCACACGAATGAGTTTAATTTGCACTACACGAAATGAGGAATATCTTCAGGGTAAAAGGTCTTTGATTATTTTGTACATTCTATTAACAGAAAAAGACCCAAAAATCATTGAAAAAATATGTGTGTTACAGGTTTTCACACACACAAACACACACACACACACACACACACACACACACACACACACACCACACACACATACACACACACACACACACACACCAAACAAGACAAAGAATCAACTCCAAAACATAAATTTCAAGTCATAAAAGGATCCAACTGTTTATAAACAATTCAATTTCATATTTCCCTGAGAGAGAGAGAGAGAGAGAGAGAGAGAGAGAGAGAGTTCTGGGTTCAATTCTGCCCTTTGTGTGTGAGCCAATTGAGGACTCTGATAGGATCCACTGCCTGTAAGGGAGAAGGAGGAAGACACACACACACACACACACACACACACACACACACACACACACACACACACACAATACACACACACAATATCGACACACACACGCACGCACACACACACACACACACACACACACACACACACACACACACACACACACACACACACACACACACACACACACACACACACACTGAGATCATTTCTGCCTCCTTACAAGTCATCCTCGTTTCCCTTCCTTGAGTCCCACTTGAAGGCAGTTACGAGTGTTAGTGTTTACTGTTGTTGTTGTTGTTGTTTACCTGTAACGGTGTAAACATTTCTTTTGGTGTTATGCTTGATTGAAATTACAACAATAATAACAATACTCTTCTTTAAACACACACATTATACACCAATTATACATACATACATACATACATACATACATACATACATACATACATACACAGCACAACAAGAGACATATAGTGAGACCATCAGACTAACAGAGGCAGAAGTGTGTGTCTGTGTGTGATGGAAAATATTGGAACAGAGCCAACAATACCGGCCAGGGAGGACGATATTTACTGCCGTCCAAACAAACTCTTTTGAAAACCACACAACAATTGTTTTTATTATTATTATTATTATTATTATTATTATTATTATTACAGTGGTTTTGAGGAAATTGGTTATAAAAATGGGTCTAATTGTTATTTTAAACTTAATAATCTCTAGAACAATTTCAAGTTCCTCGTACTATTAAACCCAAGTTCTAATAGGCCCCAGCTCTAATAGGCCTTAGTCCTATTAAACTTACAATGTGATGCATACACAAACAACCAATTAGAATGAGAACACGCAGACACTGATCCCTATTTCTGTAATTGCCTCAGTGAAAGGAGGCTAAGATTAACTGCGAATCCAATTAGTAACTCCAATTTCAAACGAGGTAGACATAGCTAATTTACTACTCTCTCTCTCTCTCTCTCTCTCTCTCTCTCTCTCTCTCTCTCTCTCTCTCTCTCTATCTATCTATCTAAAAACCAACCAATTTCCTCCCAATTTCCAACAACCTCACAATATAACGTAACCAAACCCATTATATCCCTTTACCTATTATTATTACACCCTATTACTATAAAACCAATTAGAAGCAACCAATTAATTTACTAATCTCAAGTGGCCAATTTCACCCCCTCCCCCCCCACTGCTATTCCAGGCTGGAGTGGGTGGCATAGTACCTTCATGGCCCAGATGCCATTCCAAGTCAGATGGTCGATTTCATGATTGGATTATTCAGGGCATTCCCACCTTATTGCGAATATCTTGATAATGCCTTGTTTCTCTCTCTCTCTCTCTCTCTCTCTCTCTCTCTCTCTCTCTTTCCCATACCACATAAACCTGTCCTTCTCACTCTTCCGCCTCCCTACACCCCCTCCCCCCCTCTTCCCCTCACCTTGCTGTACGTCAACTATTTTTCACCTCTTCCCCTCACCTCCCTCCTTCTCCTCCCCTTTTCCCTCCCCCCCTTGCTATTACTCCCTCCCTCTCCCCCCTCTCCTTCCACTTCCCTCCCTCTCCTTCGGACCGTCCCATTCCCCCTCCTCCCCTCTCCCTCCCTTCCCCCTCTCCCTCCCTCTCCCTCTCTCTACCACAGGGACACACAGCTAGAGGGGACGAGGGGACTGCAATTAGCTCTTTGGTGGCCAGCTAAGTGAGGCTGGTTGAATTAGCTGTGGAGGAGAGGGAGAGACAGACAGACAGACAGACAGACAGAGAGGGAGATAGACCTGAGGTAATAGCTTTTAGCCTTTGAGGTTCAGGAAACAGCTAATGGAGAAATGGACACCGTTTTAAGCTCCCATGGCCACAGCTATAACTAAGACGAATGGAATTAAGTTTTAGCTTTTCGAGGCTCAAGGGAAAGAGAATAGGTGTCGTGTTAGCTGTGATGGATAAAGCTATAACTGAGGTTTTTAGGATCAGCTTTTGAAGTTCAGGTAATATCTGATGGTTAAATGAACGCTGTATTTACCTGTGATGGCCAGGTGAGTGTAATTAAGGTTTAGCTGTAATCTCTCTCTCTCTCTCTCTGTGTATGGTTAACTACAGGTCATTCCAGGTCACTACAGGTCATTTTATGTTACAGATGGTGCTGGTGGTTGAGGTGCTGACGTATGTGTGGCTGACGGTCGGTCTGGCCGGGGCTGACACCATCACCTTCCACGGTAAGTCCTGACATTTTCTTCTTGTTTCTGTTATGAGGAAATTGTCATTTATTACGTAGGGAAATTTTCTTTGACGTAGGGAAATTTTCTCTTATAGAGGGAGATTTTAATTTTATTTATATTACAGGAAAATATATCTGTTTTGTTGTTGTTCTCGTAGTAGTAAGAATATCCTATAATAAAACATACAACAATCACAAGATAAACAGTGAAACCTCTATTTAACGAACTATATAGAGAGGAAAATCCGTTATATGCAATGGTCCGTTATATGGAGGTTTGTTTCACTGTATTAATAACATCAATAACGAAATAGTATGACGTCATTAACAAGATAATTCCCAACCAACTTAATTTTTTTATTATTTTTTTTTATTTCTTTTACAAATAACAGAAATATTCCAACAAAAAACTTAATTAGTATTTTTTGGGGGTAATTTCGAAATTAATTACAAAGACCATTACAGCTCTCTTAACTAACGAGGAGGAGGAGGAGGAGGAGGAATCCAGTAACGTAATAACTGTAACGAATTCTGTTTTATAGTAATGAGGAATTCATATACAACACACACTATAACTCTTAAGTCATGAAATGGGATGAAAACCGCCATAAATAATGAGATTTTGACAATATTCCCCTACTACCGCTACCACTACTACCTACTACTACCACCTACCGACCTTCACCCCACCCTCACCCCCCACCCTCCCCCACTACCCACCCCACCTACCCCACCACCTCCGCAAGGCCCTGTTCAGCTGACAGTCCTCGGCTTTGCGACTCTATAATCAGTTTAATAGACCGAACATGACCAGCAAATATTGACTCACTCCTGTCAAGGACTGTGTATTGTGAGGGTGTATGCCTGAAGAGTCATTCCCTGATAGATGAGAGGAAGAGGAAGGGAGAGAGGAGGGGGAGGAGGGAAAGGAAGAGGGGGAGGAGGGGGAGGAGAAGAGAGAGAGGGAGAGAGGGGTGGGAGAAGGAGAGAGAGAGAGGGGAGGGAGGAGGGGGAGGAGGAGAGAGAGAAAGAGGAGAGGGAGAGAGAGTCGGTCTTAATCAGAACTAAACGACTCGTGTGAATTGTAATAAGTGGTGAGCTGAAGTGATTGTGGTCTCTCTCTCTCTCTCTCTCTCTCTCTCTCTCTCTCTCTCTCTCTTTCTCTTCTCTCTCTCTCTCTCTCCTCTCTCTCTCTCTCTCTCTCTCTCTCTCCTAACCTAACCTAACCTAACCTGCAGTATTACCAGAATATCACTAGACTTGCACCCCGGTAAAGTAAAATGATTCAGTGTTACCAGATCCTTGACTTCATTAACCCCTTGCAAGTAAATAGCCTTAATACATTTTGCGTTCTACAGTGTTACCAGAGCCATGTTAAGACCTTAGTGAGCGGGATAATATTACTGAATTTACCTAAGTGTTGCCAGAACCTCAACGTTATTACACCCTTGGAATAAATCAATATTCAAATTACTTACTCCAGTGTTGCCAGAAGAGTAGTACTGTTAAATCGCGGCCAAGTTGAATAATTCATCTGAATGTACCTCAGTGTTACCAGACTCCCAGAATGAGTAAACTCGAGGAAAAATGTGTAATTCATTGCAAGGTTTTTTCACAATTACCAGATAAAGATAATAAATGACCTTAGGGAAAGGGTTAGTATAATTTAATATATATATCAGTGTTACCAAAACCCTTGAGAAATTACATCTCTATTTTAAAATCTTCCCCATGTCAAGTCTCTTCAGTGTTGCCAGAATTCCAGTAAAGTTGGACCCCAGCGAGCGTAATAATTTAATTGAGTGCATATCAATGTTGCCAGACTCCCGAAGACATTAGACCCTTGCTATAATACGTATTAATTCCTGAAAGTGTCTTCACTGTTGCCAGAATCGAGGTAATATTAAACCCTTGACTCTGTAATTATTTAATATATATCAGTATTACCAATTACGAGGATACAGTGATCGGACTCTATTAAAGTGGAATAACTAATGAATGTTTCCTCATCAGTGTTGCCAAAGAGAATCCCATTAAAAACATCCATTCAATAAGTATTGCCAGATATTCACCAATAAATCGTGTGATAACTTACTCACCTAGCCATTAGTATTGCCAGACTCATCCTGCATTAGACCTCAAAGAAGCGAGAAATTGTGTCGCATCAATCGTCAGTATTACCAGATATGAGGTAGAGACGACCTCAATAAAACAGGGAAATGCACTCTCCTAATCATCAGTATTGCCAGAAAACCATGATAATATGTCGAGGCAATCACCAGTATTGCCAGAGCCAGACCCCAGGGAAACCTTTCTTCCCAATATCTCACAAATCTGTCAACATTATATCAGTGGATCTCTCTCTCTCTCTCTCTCTCTCTCTCTCTCTCTCTCTCTCTCTCTCTCTCTCTCTCTCTCTCCAAAATGGGAAACAGACACAAATAGCACTAAGAAAGACTAAAAGAAAGAAAGAAAGAAAGAGAAGGGGAGAAAGAGACAGAAATAGACAGATAAACAGAGACGGAGAACTTTAAGTAGAATGAGAGAAAGAGATAAACAAAAACACATAGAGAGAAAAAGAAGCAAAAATAGAAAATTAAATAGAGAGAGAGAGAGAGAAGCGTTATAGTACTTGGGAGTGTCGTCACATCACGGAACAGCTGATGTTAGTAAACAAATGGTTCCTGAAATGGCGGGAAACTTGAGAGGGGGAGGGAGGGAGGGAGAAAGGAGGGAGAGGGGGAGGGAGGGAGGGGAGAGGGGGAGACAGGGGAGGAGGAGCCTGTACCCGAGCCTTTAAACACCAGACAGAATTTTCGGACCTCTGCCTAGCTGGTGGAGTGATGCCTGAGTGATGCCTGGCTTGTGGAGTGATGCTGGTGATGCCTGGCAGCCGGGTGCCTGGGCGATGCCTGCTTGTGGAATGATGCCTGAGTGATGCCTGGCTTGTGGAACGATGCCTGAGTGATGCTTGGCTTGTGGAATGATGTCTGAGTCATGCCTGGCTAGTGGAGTGATGCCTGAGTGATGCCTGGCTTGTGGAGTGATGCCTGAGTGATGCCTGGATGATGCCTGGCTTGTGGGATGCCTTTGTTTATCTCATTCTCTCCCTTTTTCCGTATTATCGCTTCTCTCCCTCTCTCTCTCTCTCTCTCTCTCTCTCTCTCTCTATCTCTCTCTCTCTCCCACAGTGCCAGCTAGGGTGCCACAAAACAGCCGAAGAGGTCATCGTTAGAGCGATTAATGCTCAACTTTACCGTCATTATCCAAGTTTTAATTGTTGGAACGTGTTTTTGTGTTTTTACAAGAGTTTCCTGCACTTGATGCGTTCCGCGCCACCTCCCCCCCTTTGTCTGTTTGTGCTTGAGGTGCGTTTGATGATGGTTCCAGTACTATTTGGGGGGGGGGAGGAGGAGGAGGGGGCTGGTTTTCGTTGTTTTCGCTGTTTGTTTTTGTTTTCGTTATTTTTTGTTTCATATTTTTTTGCCATTTGAATTCTTTTGCCTTATTATTATTATTATCATCATCATCATTATCATTAGTAGTAGTGGTAGCAGTAGTAGTAGTAGTAGCAGTAGTAGTAGTAGTAATAGTAGTAATAATAACAATCACTTATCATGTCAACTACCTTTAACCCAGTAAACAACAACATAATCCCCTCGTTTTCTGTTCATCCAGCGGCGCTCACAGGGGAAACTTCTGTACCCTCTTCTCTTTTCCCCGCCTCTGTTGTTTTGAAGCAGCGAGAATGTGAGGTATTCCACTTATGATGAATATAAGCCCTTGTGTTCCGTGGGGGTAGGGGGGTGTAGGTAGGGAGGGGGGAGGAAGGGAGGGGGTGTGGGTAGGGAGGGGGAGGTAGGGAGGGGGAGGTAGGGAGGGAGAGGGAGGTATATAAGGGGGGGTGTGCAGGGAGAGAGAAGGAAGGTATGAAGGGAGGATAGAGGTACCACTTCCACCATTCACCACCACTACCCATCACCATCACCATCACCATCACCACAACTCACCACATCCAGAACCACCACACACTAACCACCACCATCCACACACTAACCACCATCCACCACCACCACCACCATCCACCATCACCATTAAACTCATACTGAAGTTTGTGAGGTAAGAACAATCTCCATAAATAAAGTAAGAGAGTTTAAAAGTATTTGCATATGTCACAAGAACTTAATGTACTTAAGAGAGATATAATTTAGTCCCCCCTTGGTGGTGTGGTGGTGTGGTGAGAATGTGTGGTGGTAGTGGTAGTGGTGGTGGTGAGTAGTGGTAGTGGTGGTGAGTGTGGTGAGGTGAGTAGTGGTGTGGTGGTGGTGGTGAGGTGAGTAATGTGATGGTAGTGGTGGTGGTGTGTGGTGGTGGTGGTGGTGGTGAGTGGTGGTGGTGGTGGTGGTGTGGTGAGGTGGTGGTGGTGGTGGTGGTGGTGGTGGTGGTGGTGATGGTGGTGGTGGTGGTGGTGGTGGTGGTGGTGGTGAGGTGGTGAGGTGGTGGATAGTGGTGGTGAGTGATGGTGGTGAGGTGGTGGTGGTGGTGGTGGTGGTGGTGGTGGTGGTGGTGGTGGTGGTGGTGGTGGTGGTGGTGGTGGTGGTGGTGGTGGTGGTGGTGGTGATGGTGGTGTGGTGGTGGTGGTGGTGGTAACAACCATCAATAACCATAAGAATCACCACTACGCCTCACGGGGCTGATGGCATATATAGATAAAAATAAAACTGCTTTGTTCTAGAGATTCCAGAACCCTTTGTTGGGGGCTAGGAATTAGGAGCTAGGAATTGGGGCTAGGAGCTTAGGGACTCGTAGTTAAGGGCTAGGAATTGGATATAGGATGTGAGGGCTAGGAGTTAAGAGCTAGGAATTGGGGCTAGGGGCTGGGGGCTAGGGGCTGGGGGCTAGGGGCTGGGGGCTAGACATCTGACTGTGTTAACTCACCGTATTACATATATTTCCTTCTCATCACAACATCCCGCTTCTCATTTTCTCTCGTCTTTC